GGGGGGGGGGGGAGCTGCTCGATATAGAGATGAGATATTCGTTCGCTCTCTCGCCCCGAGTTCGTTGGCCTGCTTCGAGGGGATATGAACCATCCTAGCTTTAATACGCATTCGAGTCGTAAAATAGTGCGGTTCCCTCCATCTTCATCCCCCTTTCCTCCCTCGCTCACTTTCTGCCTGTGTGCTCCGGAAGATTATACTTGATTGAAAGATTCATTCAGTAACGAGGGTCGCGCGTCAAATCCGCGCAATTCTGCGTGTCCTGCGATCGTACGACCTTAGGTGCGTTCGTCGCTGGTTGCGACAGCAATTCGTCCTGCGGAAAATCGATAACTAGCACGTTGCCCGAGTCGCACGGCGCTGCCTCGCGCGATTACGAGCGCGTACAGGGCGACACCGGACACCGTCAATGGGGTGCATTCGGTGTGACGACGTTCTTCCTGCTATTACCGTGCGAGCTGTGATATCTCTCAGATATCGACGCGCAGAGACGCTTACATTCACAGAATAGTTCCATCCCGCGAGACAACCCTGCACGCATGTAATTGATGGGAGCGGGGGCGCAGGTCGAAAATAAATAACGGCGCGTTTCTCTTCCGACCGCTGGACGCGCTATAATAATAGTATCGGTAGCTAAAGCACACAACAATGTCAAACATCTAGATCAATAGCGCTGGCGTATTGATATAGATGTTTGACATCCATACCAATGTCAAACATCCATGTCGATACGACGCAATTCCGACGCGGATCTAGGAATAACCTATGTCTCCTGGTGGTTTATGATTAGGGAGAAGGAAGCATTTGTACACACACGGCGATCTTACCTTCCACGAAGCTGGTGGTGATTTGCGCGCACGAGGCAGCCGCTCTTTATCCGCAAAATTAGCTGTTGTTCAGTCCAAGTGTAAACGGAGCCGCAAAAAACGTGACTTCCGGCCGCCACATCCAGTGTTTTACCGAGCTTCGGTTATCGAAGGCAGTCGAAACAATCGCGAAAAATAGACAGATATGAGGGAAAAGGGGGAAAAGAGGAAGGCGTGTCGAAATTAACAACGAAGGGAGGGACCACAGCTCTATCCTCCAGCTCTTTCTCGACGAAAAATCGTCTCGGGACGATACATATCGGCGCGTCCCCTCTGAAACCGCGCGCGCTACTTCATAATTCCGAGGGGGCCGGAACGTCGGCACGGATACAGAAATATTATCTTGGTGGAGATACACAAAATACGCAAGATATCTGTGATGGAGATGAGACGGTCGCGTGCTTCTCGTCGCGAGCACGGAATCAGGATGGACGGCACAATTTACGGACGATACGGTCCGCAGGACGTAACGGAGGGAGGACGATGTTCCCGCGGGAGCCTTTGCATTCTTCACGAGATCGGACCCGTCGCCGGTAGCAGCGATGCGTAAATGGCGCTCCGGAGGGAAAAGAAGGAAATAGAACGAAGAGGAAGTGGGCACGACCAGGGTGCGAATCCGCCATTAAAGGGTGAATAACGTCCGGACTGAGCGCGGTGCGTCTTCACGCGGCGTGGAATTCGATTATCTCGGACGTGATTTAAAATATTCCCGATAGCGGCGACGACAACGACGGCGACGGCGGCGGCTTCGACAAACCCCGCTCATCACCCTCTCCCCTCT